ATCAAAATATATATTAAGTGAAATTGCAACATTGATCTTTTTGATGCACTCATAAATCAAAAACAAAGATCAAGATTATTTTTTTTACCTAGTTTTGATTTTTCCCTAGGCAAATGAATTAGCGTCAGAAATACAACATACTCCAGAGACTTCTGTTCGTACACGTTGTGTTTGATTTGTCATCTCATCTGTGTCCCTTGTCCACAAGCTGCCCGTGCTAGACATGATTTTTTTAAACTAGCCTTTTCTTCAGACAGAGCAAAGAAATTTTAATCTCATCACTTATTTTATTATTATAATTATTTTTTTTAAATTTAAGTGAAAGAAATTTAATTTTTTTAAAATAAAATTTTAAATTTAAATTTTATAAATAAAGATATAAATGTTGAGAGATTTTTTTTTTTTATGAAATCAAATTTAAGTTAAATTTAAGTTAATTAAAATTTAATGTGATTTTTGAATATTGAAATGTTTAATAAAAATGAAACAAATTGCACCTATATACTTCCTATGTTTGGGCATATATTGAGTTATAAGGCTTTACATCCTACATTATGTTTTTGATGATTTATGAGAAGGCAGATAGAATGAGCATTTGCAAAATTTCAAAAAGAAAATAAATAAAAAGAAGAAGAGGCCATGGTTACTATAGATTAGCCTACTTTGATAGCAACCTTTGAACCATACTTTTCTATCTTTCCATCAATTACATATTTACTTGTCGAAATAAAGGGAAAAAAGAGAAATCCAAAATTGATTCCCATCCCATACTTCACCTTTTCTTGTTATGGTTATTGAGAAAATTGAGAGTGGCATTTTTTTCTTAATCTTTTATCTTTTGTTTTTTAAGAAAGTCTCAACTTTTGACTTTTATATTAAAAAAAGTTTTAAAAATATGCTAAACAAACTTAAACTTATTGTAGTATTCATTAAAGTTTTCACATTTTCCGTGTAATAACTCAATCCCTAAAAACCTTTATTCCGATGTAACTTCGTGCCTATGGTTAAGAAACTAGTTGAAGTTAAATTATAAATTTATATAATAATTGTTAATTATGCTTAGATTTTAAATTTAATTATATTGTTGATTTCATAGTTTGGTTGCTTCAAAAGTTAGGTGTTTACAAAAGCTCCACGTGGGTTCTTGCATGAACGCGAAGTGGCAAACCCATTTCTTAAAAAATGCAACGTGTCTCACCGAGGAAAAAAAAAAATAAAAAAAGGTGAGGGCAGCAAAAATCTTAAATAATGGACACAGCAAACTTCACGGGAAATGCATGGAGCCCTACCTTCCTGATTAAGGCTAAAACCAATATTAGCCCCTCATCTTATAAAATTGATAGGTTTTAGCTCTTAATTTTATAATATAACATTTTTAACCTTTTACCTTACCATTAGCCCCTCACTTTATACTATAACACTTTTAGCTCCTTATCTATACAAATTGAAGAAAATAGCCTTCACTTAACATCAAGTTATAATATTTTTATTAATTTGTTAGTTGATTATTAGTTCTGTTAGCTGACTATTAGTATCTGTTAGCATCAATTAGCATTCCGTTAATGGAACTAACATATAAAATTGAATTTAAATTTCATATTTTTTTATAACAAAATACTAACGGATGTTAACAATCAACTAACAAAACTAACATAATGTTATAACTTGATGTTAGGTGAGAGCTATTTTCTTCAATTCATATAGGTGAAGGGTTAAAAATGTTATAATATAATGTGAGTAGTTAAAACCTACCAACTTTGTAAAGTGATGGGTTAAAATTTACCAACCAACTTTCTAAGGTAAATGGCCTAAACTGTCATGTTATAAAATGATGCGCTAAAATCTACTAATTTTGTAAGGTAAAAGACTAAATATTGATTTTTGCCCCTGATTAAAGTCGGATTAGTGTATTCATTTCCATTTTTAATGGGAAAGGTCAAGTGATTCAGTTCATGATCATGAGGTTGGGCTTGAGAAGGGAATTATTGGACGGATTAGAAGTTTAGAACTTTCACCAACAAGTAATGAAGCCTTTTACACTACAGTTATGTTTGATTAGTAGGATTATTTGTTAATTATCATATAATTTATTATTATATTTGTAAAATAAAGTAGAGAGAGATGCAATTGAAAATTTACAGGAGTGAATTATCCGTTACTCTTTAATTTTCATGCATTTTAAAACTATTTCTTTATTAAATAATTTTAAAACGGATCTCTTGTTAAGTAATTTTCACAAATAAGGTCTTAAAATTAAATAAGAATCCTATAATTTAAACAAAATTTTTATAAATTATTTATATATTTTAGGCCAAA